AAGCGGAGCTCGCCAACGGACAGGATACGGATCAATCCGAATAATGTATTGCTATTTACTAAAAACGGTTCGCGTGCGGTCCGTATGCGGTTCCTATTTCAACCGCGCGCGAACGCGGAGCGTCCGTAACGGATTGTTCGCGAATCACCTGTGTGATGCCACCCTGCGTACAGCAGTCGTCCTCACCCTTATGTTAACCATCGGGCGCCCCTCCTTCTTTGTCTGCGTGGCTCAGTCGGTAGTAGCGCAGCACCTTCAATACTCGACCCGACAAGTTCAACTCCTCGAGAGGCATATTTAAAATGAATTTCGAGAACTTTTTTTTTCATGTCCTCCCACCTTTAGGGAGAAACTGTTTTTTGAAACACAAACTTCTGTAGTTTGTAGAGCGGACCATTATAATTCAGAGACATCCAACATTGTCATCCGTCTAGCATTTCTATTCTCATTAACAAAACCAAGCTAGATATGATGAATAACCCGCGAGGAAGCAGTAATCATGTGAGATACAAAACGGTGAGGTGGTATAAGCAAAATACCCAATTAGAAATTTTCCCATATTTTTCGAAGTACACTTCTCAAAACAAAATCTTATGATTTTTGGAGGCGGGCTCAGGAAAGTAGGCGGATTCTCTTTCCAAAAAAAATATTTCGCTGGATCAGAAGCATTCAATACTTCTCTATTCGACTTCAGCTATTATCACCTATTATTCTGGAACAATTGTTATGTGATCACGGGGTTCCTCGAGTGCCCAACACTCACAGAGCAGTGTTAGACCTCAGTTGAACTCTGTGATTACATACAATAATGGGAATTCAATTTTTTTTTGTCTTTGGGAAAAATTTATGAAACTGACACAATTTTAGAAAAAATAAACATTATATTCCAGAAGAGTAGAATCAGAAACCCCGAGAATTCTTGACCTAGTCATCTGGGAAAATAAACGATTCATATAGGAAGTAGTCATGTTCTGATGAAGTTAGCTTATATCGGAAACCTCGATTATTTTTTGATAGCGAGGCGTATTGAATACCTGAAAATTCATATGGAAAACATTTAAAACGATTTTTTTCTGCTTCAATTTCAAACAAATAAATTGAAAGTGATGTTGTTTTATTTGTTCTCAAGACTCATCGTGCCTACAGCTCTACACTTTATGTGCTGAAAGCACAGATACTCCTTGAAAACACATAGCAACGTGTTCAAGAATATTAGAGTTCTGCATGAAATAGAAGAAATATTCACTAGAATAAGACAAACATTACTACCACCTGAGTTTATATACGCAATATGATACATAGAGTTTGATCTGCTCCGCGTTGGGTCAGAGAAAATTATAATCTTACAGGCGGTGGGCATGTGGATGTGACAGAGGAGTGTAATTAGTGAGATTCGAATTATGAAACTACATACGAAAACCTATTCACATTATCTAGAAACTACCAAAAGTGCAAATATGGTTTTTGTGATTCACGAAGTATTTAATCAATATTTCGTCAACAATAGAACGCCGCTCCTATACTAAACTCAATTATATCGACTTCTGTGCAAGATGTTCAAAATCGCAAAATAAATCAGGAAAACAGGATGAGAAAAGTGTATCAGTTTACAAATTTCTGGAAGCTCTTCTAAGAAATGTGAATTTCTAGGAAACGTGATGTGCAAGACAATAATAAGGTATACTATACAGAAGCACTGGGCTCAACATGTCGAATAAATTAAATGAACATAATGAACACTGAACTACAGTGTTTTTACGAAATTTCAAATGATAACTTTTCGATCTACTCTCCAGGTTCTCAAAATCGCACAATATGAACTCTGGTCTCAATATGAAGTTTGGCCTCAAAAATACTCGAGTATTCAGGAGGCGATAAGTATGCAGGTGTGCGAAAAGTAAAAAAAATAACCAATAAATTTCAACAACTCATATCAAGCAATTACTGTCAATATTTGGCCAATCATTTGAAACTACGGGACAAGAGAAAAAATTATTCTTCTGGACCGATAAAGCCGATTTGCCAAAAATCAACGCAAAGATTTACGAAACTTTTTTTCTATATGCACATCCTTTTTCTGCTTGGTACAGTTTTTAAAAATAATGTTCTATCATTTTCAATCAGGGAACAATGTAGTCAAATTTCAGTTCACATATGTGCACCGTTTAGATCATATACTTTATTTGTCTATTCAAAATCACCTTTGAAGTTCTCTTAATGGGAACAGTGGTTGTTGACAAAATCAAATCAACAGGCGTCTTCTATTTCTTCTATCGATGACGATATTCCTTATTCATTCACATCTTGCGTGCGCTGAAACTTTTGTGTTCTGTTTTGCGTTGAAATCCCTGAACGCTGTTTTTTTGATTACCCTAATGTAAGTTCATCAGAATGAACATGGGTAAGGAATAAAACTTATTGTTTCAAGAAAATGTATCATAATTTTCCTGGTTATCTAACATTGCTTCATTTGTTCTCAAGGTTGTTTATACCTTTTGCACTACATTTTGAGTGCAAAAGGCTATAAAAAAACCCCGAAAACATATAGCAAAGTATTCAAGAGTATTAGGGTATAGCGGGGAAATGTACGAGAATGACTAGCATCTGTAAGGTGCTCGGCGAGTGACTAATATTGAGGCTTTCTTAATTATATGTATAGTGGAGAAGTGTCAAAGATGTATAATTATAGCGGTTCGAAGTGTAAAACTACACACAACTTTTTATCCATTTTAACCATAACAAGCAAGCAAATTTACTTAGCGTTGACACAGTTTTTAGATGAATTTTTCCAATGTGTGCAAAAACAGTACCGGCCAGAAGTATGCCAGTCACTCTCGAGCGGAAATACAATTTCGCGTTACGTGAAGCCAATAAGATTTGAACTAATACTGATAAAGTTCTAGTCTTCCGTTATTTTTGATTTTCCGCTCACACACTGATACCAGTCGAACTCCCGCAGCTAACTATAAGCCACGTTTTTTCAGAGAATCACATGAAATTTCAGACATTTGAAGATTTCGAGGTACACTTTATTAAAAAAAAAA